TCCCTCAGTTTACAAGGTAATTGTATTCCTGGAAAAGTCAATGGACTTAAAAACTGTGTAGGAGATAGTTTGTGTGTATTTGGTGAAATATAGTTTGGGTCTAGGCTCAGATAATATAAGTAGATATTTTTTATCTACTGCATGTCAGTAGGATGTTCAACAGTCATACAGGACCAGCACAATTTATCTGCCAGAAAGTCTAAACCAATGCAGGATGTCTGACTTTGCTGATTCCTGCCCATTAAATCTATTAACATCCCCCCCACATGCCCACCACGTGTCCCTTAGGGGCCAGTATTGTCCTCAGTATTGAAACCTTTGGCCCGGAGTTCTTCAGGGCCAGATGAGTGTATGTCAGCAGAAGTGTAGTTACAGCTTCTGATTATAGAGGCTTATGTGTGAGCAAGACTAGAAATGAAGGAGACCAATGTTAGCAGAAAGCTAGGGACATCACTTCATGTGACATATCAGTATGTCCTCTGTGTGTGGGTGTAAAGGGCTCAGAGAGGGTGTTGCAGCTGGGCCCTGAGTGCCAATGGGCTCTTTTTTTCCAGAAGCGAGCCCAGGATGCCCTGATCATCCTGGGGGGCGGAGGACTTCTCTTCGCCTCCTACCTGACGGCCACGGGGGATGAGCATTTCTATGCTGAACACTTGATGCCGACTCTACAAGGGCTGCTGGACCCCGAGTCAGCCCATAGGCTGGCTGTTCGTGTCACCTCCCTGGGGCTCATTCCTCGTGCCACGTTTCAAGACTCTGACATGCTGGTAGGTGACCTTGTGCCATACAAAGTGAAGGTCAGTGTCCCCTAGTTTACACAGGTGGGGCCAATCCTTTTGAAAAATCAGAGTCCCGAGTTAGCCCTGATGAAACACTGTCATTCCCCATCTACAGATCAGGAAACTGAGGCAGTGAGTAGTTAAGTGACTTACCCAAAGTCACACAGCTAGGAAGTGCTGAGCCAGGATTCAACCCCATGGAGTCTGACTTGGCAACCATCTCCTTAGCCACTGGCCTGCCTTGCTGAGGTCTTAGGTAGCTCAGTCTTCACTTCTGCAAAATGTAGACACATGCCAGAGTCATTAAACATCTAATGTGACATGGGCATGTCTAGCCAAGCCCTTGGAGGAAAGCATGTAAAAACCTGTCTCAGCATCATTCAGTCCTGCGTTAACACATGGGCCCCACCATGTGCCTGCTGCCGTTCTGGGTGCCAGGGTTACAGCAGCAAACACAACAGAAGAATCCATGTCCGAGGATCTGCATCCTCCTGTAAGCCCTGCCAGTTTCCATCTGAGAGACTTCTTACCACATGGGGACATCAGAATGCTGTGACATGAGGACAATAAACAAGAAGCACACAGACCTCTTTGGGGAAGGGTCAGTATTATAAACCAGAGGGGTCTTTCTCTGCATTTCCTCTTTTTGTCTTAGAATTCCTTTCACTTCCCCATCCTGCAGTTTTGAGCAGATGCGGCATTATCCCTGACGTACCATATGTAAGCCCTGAAGGGCACTGTAGAATCAGAAAGAGCATTCTTTCCTTTAAGCTGTCCCCATCCCAAACTGCTAGTTTGGGCATCCTGGAACTTGGTGTAACACAAATGAGTAAAGAGTGGGATAAGAGTGTCTGACAGGGAAGAACCTGTCTCCAACCACAGCCTGGTTCTGGAGCCCAGCAGTCACTTTTGCCTAGCAGAGCACTTTGCTCCCTCTAGTGCCCCACTGGGGCTTTGGATCAGCCTGGTTGAGGAGGGACCCAGCTGGGTCTGACTTCCTAAACTGGCTCGAGGACTTTGCTGCTTGACACTCTGTTTCAGAATAGCACTGGCTAGAGGCTGACACCAATGGGCCACTCTCTCCCACCAGGATAGTGGATAAGAAGGGATGAATGTTAACTAACTGGAAAACATAGTGTCCATCTCCTGTTCAACCCATGGTGGAAACACAGTTTTTTCCCTCAGTCTTGGTGATGGATGACAAAACCTGATGGTTCTTGAATTCCAGCAGGTATCAGAATCACCTGCAGAGCGCCATTAAAACTAGATTCCTTCAGAGTTCCATTCTGCCCATCCCCCCCAAATTCTGATTCCTTAGTTTGGAGATGGGTCCTGGGATTGGATGGCTAACAAGCTCCCTGGGGAATTCTGACGTAGATGTGCCAGAAACCACACCGTAAGAAACACTGGTGTAGCCTTGTATACCTCTGACTTTGTCTCCCTCTTCCTAGGAAGTGAGAGTCCTGGGCCATAAGTTCCGAAACCCAGTAGGAATTGCTGCAGGATTTGACAAGCATGGAGAGGCTGTGGATGGACTTTACAAGATGGGCTTTGGTTTTGTTGAGATAGGCAGTGTTACCCCAAAACCTCAGGAGGGAAACCCCAAACCCAGAGTCTTCCGCCTCCCAGAGGACCAAGCCGTCATTAACAGGTAGGTGAGTGGCCCAGAGATAACAAGGATGCCTTCTTCCCAGCAGGGTGCTCGGGATGTTTTATTCTGTCACGCAGTGTGGATATTCTGTCACTTGGAATGTTCAGGAATCATAGTGAGCATATACCATGTGCCAGGCATAAAAGCAGGTTTGGGGATTTCAGTTTAACACGTACACATGCTGAGGCCTGGAGAACTACATAACAGCTACAACCACGAGACCATAAGCGTGGGAGGTTGGGTACAGATTTAGGTGTATTTGACTTTAGAGTTGGTGCTTTTTCCACATTTTTACTCCAATGCCTTTGCCCAGCACTGTCTAGTAGAAATATAATGCGAGCCCCATAGGTAATTTAAAATATTCTAGCAGCCATGATAAAATAGTAAAAAGAAATAGGTGAAATTAATTTCAGTAGTATATCCTATTTAGTTATTTGTAATAATTATATTTAATTGAAATACTTAATATATTCTAAATATCATTTGTTTTTTAATTTTATTAAATTTATTGCAGTAACATTAGTTAATAAAATTATAGGTTTCAAGTATATAATTCTATAATACATCATCTGTATATTGCAGTGTGTCCACCACCCAAAGTCAAGTCTCCTTCCATCACCATATATTTGACTCCTTTTACCCTTTTCTACCTCCCCCCATATCATTTTAACATATCAACATAAAAATGATTCATTAGCTATTTACTTTCCTTTCCTTGTACCAAGTCTTCCAAATCGAGTGTGTGTTTTTCTTCAGCCCCTGTCAGTGTGGACTGGCCACGTTTAAAGTGCTCAGTGACACATAGGGCTAGTGGCTCTTGTATTGGACAGTATAGCCCTAGCCTTTAGTAAATTGGAAAATTTAATAGTCAACCTATGCAGCTGATTTTAGTAAGAGAGATCCTTGTATTGTAGATTGTGTAAAGACCTTCTCTTTATAATCCCCGGGCAATTTTCCCAACAGCAAACCCAGCAAGTGAAGAAGGTCCTATTTTTTGGTAACAGAATTGTGAAGCGCCTCCTTGGGGAGATTTTGATAGGCATCTTTGGGGCCATTACTGGCTTTCTGGAAGACTGACCTATGGGAAGTTTATTAGGCTGCACTTCCCGCTTTATTGTGTTTGTTTCAGGGAAAATTTCCAGCATTAGCCATCAAGTTATTGATTCTTCTGCTACATTGCAGGCCAGGATCGATAGCTTCAGAGCGTCCAAGTCACTGGAGGTTCCAGGGTCACGGTTCTTGGCAGAATCCTGTAGATGGGAAGGGGCCGAGAGAGGACAGCCTGTGCTCTGGGGCGCTGAGTGTTCAGCCTCCTTGCTCTGTTTGGCACTCTCAATAAACTTAATGAATAAATCCATCCATTCACTCAGCAACGCAGCAAATGCACGCACGCACCACTCTATCTGTGAGGTGTTTTTGGCTGCAAGTAACAAAGTGCTTAAACAATAGGCATTTGTTATTAGTTTCTTCTCAGAACAGGTGTAGTAGGCAGTCCAGGGTTGGTGGAGGAGCAGGGCAATGTCAGGACTCTGGTCCAACTTCTCTGGACCTTACCCTCTTGTTTGTAAGATGGCTCCCCAGCTACACGCGTTGTGTCCTCGCATGTGGACATCTGAGAGCAGAAAGGGAGAAAAGCCTAGATACTGGGGGGAGTGGCTCCCAGTAGGCATCACCTTGTGTCTCAGTGACCACGCCCAGTCACATGGTCATGCTTCAGTGGCTAGTGTGGCTGGGAAAGGAGTCATTGCCATTTCCATCCAGTATCGGGGGAATGGCCAATCGGTCAACAACCCACAAGTGGGGCTGGAGAGACAGAGGTGAGCCAGAGAGATGAGGTCACTGCCTTTGTGGAATGTCTAGTGGTGGGGTGATGGAGAAGTAAGACATGTCCCTGGTCCTCAAGAAGATCATAACCCAGTAGGGTAAGCGTACATATAGACCCCAAGCCAGGAGAAAGATCGGTACAAAGTGCTCCGTGAATGCCAAGAGGTGCGGGATCATTTGTGTCTGGGAGCTTTATGGAAGGAGGGAGAGGGAGCATTTGGTGAGAGCCAGGAAGAGAAGACGATTTTAATTCGCAGAAAGGATGGGGAAATGGAGTGGCAGGAGGTGCATTAATGGAGCACAGGCAGGAGGTGGAAAGACGGTATTGTCCGAGTGGGGAGGGCTCTGCTGGGTGTGTGTGTGGGGTGCATAGATAAAGAGGAGTGGGGGCTGGACCCAGACAAGGCTGGGGCAGCTATGCGGCCGAGTCCAGGCTGTATCCAGTGCTAGTTAGCTGGGTGGCTTGTTTGCAAATTTTAATTTCCCTTTCCCTTTGTGTTTGATAGTGTTCTGACAAGTTCTCTAGGAGGTCGAGGATGTTTAGACCTTGGAAATCTTAAGAACTAACTCTCATTTTTTTCTTTTCTGCTTTTAAAAGTTGTGTGTATGGAACCATGTATGTCTCTGAAGTCTCCGCCTTTTGGCTGAGGGCTCAACTTGTCCCTTCCCCATCTGCTTGTGTGTTACAGATATGGATTTAACAGTCACGGGCTCTCTGTGGTGGAACACAGGTTACGGGCCAGACAGCAGATGCAGGCCAGGCTCACAGAAGGTAAAGTGGGGCTGCATTAGAGGGGCTTTCTCCATTTGTTGGGAGGAAATGTGGGAGAAAAATGTGGGAGAAATGTCAGGAACATTCCTAGTGACAGACATGATTGAGCAATAGAAAAAACACTACAGAACTCAGGGTTCCTCTCCCAGAGGAATTGTCCTGGTTCCAACGGAATTTCACAACTCAGCAAAGGTGCACTTAGTTTTTGCCTTGTTATGTAACCTATGTTATATCTTCACTGGGGCAGCTTGGAAGTGAGCAAAGCAGAGTGCCCCCCTGTAATCACACAGGCAGTGAGATGTGGGCATGGCTTGAGCGCCATTTTCCTTGTTCTGCTCTGTTGTCCTGTCCATTGTATAAATAAGCATGTTAATTATAGTAGCATTAGTAACTATAGAGAAGCATAGAGAAGAAAATTAAAATTACTCACACTCTTCCCTACTTCGGGTAACTACTCTTGGCATTTGGGAGTCTGGAATACCATGCACTTTTGAAGGCCGCCTTCGGATATGCTGATGTTTATTCCTTGGCGCTCTCCGCTCTGCTGTCTGTCCCTCAGGATGCATTCAGTGGGGGAGGGCTGTGTTGTTCTCACCACACCTTCCCAGGTGCCCGCTGGGACTGTTTGGGGACAGGGCCTTTCTCCTTGTTGGATCCCTCTGGAGCTCCTTCCAGGAAGTTTTAGTCTCAATAGATGTCCTGGTGGCAAAATGAGAAAAACCCCTGGATATCAGATTTATTTCAGGAAGGAAGTTGAAAGGGCCGAGGCTGTTAGCAATCTGTGATTTAGGGAGTAGGAAGTGATGTGTTTGGAAATCCTTGGTTGTGACAGAACTAGACCCTGCTGTACTACAGAACTTTTGGGGAACTTGGAAGGTCATAACATGACTTGCACGGTTTGCGATACTCTTCTGCCTTCTTGTTCCCCTTTCCTTTTCATTGTCCACAGTGTTCACACCAGCTCTCTCCCCTGTTCTCCCTCACCCATCCCCTCACCCCCACTCTGGCGCTAACATTCATTGCAGTGAAGCAACATCCTATAGCAGAGCCCCACACACACTGTTCACCAGCAGCTAGAAGCCCTGAGGACAGCTTATCGCTAGCACCATGCAAAAGAAGTCAACTGACAAAGGCTGTGGTGCCCTTTGGAGATAGAGCAATTCAGCAACTTCTAACTCCAAAATCTTGTCAGTTTGGGCAGATGACTGCTAATGAAAGATCCATTAGCTACATGAAAGTGATACTCTCTTTCAAGCCAGTTTACCTATGTGGAAAAGAATGACAGCTTCCAAATGCCCTTGGCTTGATGGATTCTAGTCTCAGGATGCATGGAGACCTTGTTATATAACCTGTCTAATGGGTTCTAGCCCCCCCCCCACACACACACACTTAACTACAAAAATCTCATTTACTTTCAAGCTGATGATAAAAGGGTGACTACCTTTAGGGCATGAGAAGGGGGTTAGCAGGACTAGATGTTGTTCTTTGATCGTTCCTGACTTGACATACGTTTTGTGAGCTAACTTGATGTTTCAGGTCTTTTCCCAACTAACTGATGGAATAGTAGCCAGTACCATTGACGTACTATTGGTCTATACAGATAAGATGATAGCTTAGGAGAAGTAGTACAAACAACCCCTTGCTTTCACACTGCCTGTTTCTGAGTCTAAAATGCAAGTCAAGTGAAGCTCCTTTTTTTTTTTTTTTTAAAGATTTTTATTGGGGAATTGGATGGGAACAGTGCTGGGGAATTGGGGGAAGGGGAACAGACAAGTTGCTGTCCTTTTGTTCTTCAGTCTAGTTGTGGAGGACGTTGCTTCACTGGCCCAAGTTGGCACCATCATTGCGCTCTTCCCAGGCGAGGCACATCAGTTGCCGGCTTCTGGACGGCCGCTCACGGCAGCCGCTGGCCGCTCATGCTGGCTGCTGGCTGCTGGCTACACACGGTAGCCCATGGCAACCCACTGCCACAGGGGCTGCAACTTACGCTGTCGCCAGCGACTTACAGCAGCCCAGCTCCAGGTTGAGCTGTTGTTCAGCATCTTAGCTGTGGAGGGCAGTGTCACTGGCCCTCATATGTGGGATCCGAACCGGGGCCCTCTGGCGTCCCAAGCCAGCTCTTAACCATCGCGCCACTCAGCCGGCCCTGATGCTCCCATTTTTTAAGTAAAATGGCTGTATTACTTACTGTGCAAATTGAGACACTTTGGAGAGTGAAAGGGGAGCAGGCATTAATAATTGTGCCCAGGCTACAGGAGTAATCATGGCTGTCCTGGGAGCACTGGGATATATGGTCATCCTAGTTATAAGGGGGAGGCCCTTCTCAGAGAACTGAAATCATAAAATAATTATACCTTTGCATTCTAGGCATGATAATTGAAAATGTTTTCCAGTATTTTATGCATATTCTTAATTTTGGATTTTATTCACAACTGCACACCCAGTCATTCCACCCAAGTCCAACGAGCAGCCCTTGAAAGTAAACAGTTGCCCCTTCTGACACACCTATTAATTTCTGTCTGTTCTCAGTTGTGTTATGTTTTTGAGCCCTACCCTTTTTATCACTATTATTTGCATTCCGAATTTCTCCATATTCTATTGAATTTTTAAGAAGAACAAGGGCACAATGCAGTAAAACATCGTGTAGTTGCCCAAACATTGCTATGCAGACAAAGGTGGTGAGCTGTTTCCTGCTCAGCAGGAAGCAGCACCATGCAGTTCACAGTATTTGTCAGCTGGTGTGGGAAGTTATCACTGGAGGGGAAGGCCTAGAAGGCCGTGTCCATGGGCTGTTCATGTCAAGGAAATGGTGTGTGGGGACGAAAGCTTGACCAGCGGTATTTGCAGATGGGCTGCCGCTGGGGATTAACCTGGGGAAGAACAAGACCTCGGTGGACGCTGCCTCGGACTACGCAGAGGGGGTGCGCGTCCTGGGCCCCTTGGCTGACTACCTGGTCGTGAATGTGTCCAGTCCCAACACCGCGGGGCTGCGGAGCCTTCAGGGAAAGGCTGAGCTGCGCCACCTGCTGACCAAGGTGGGCAATTACACCACCAGGTCCCACTCCACTAGCCTGTCCTACCCACTTGTTCATTCTCAGGGCAAAGCTTCAATGTCATTATCCAGGAGCCGTCCTTAGCACCTGGACCAGTCAGGACCCCTCACTGTACCTCTAATCCCCTAATCTCAACACTGATTATGCTCAATAGTAATTAATTGCTCAGTTATCTGTCCCTGCTTTTAAACCATAAGGTCTGTGAGAGGGACCGTGTCTCTCATTTTACTACACTGTCCCTAGCATGTAGCACATTGAATGAATGAATGAATTGAATGACTTTTCATCACAGTGCTTGTGACAGGATTACCTTGTTATCTCTTTTAGGAACAAAAGTCTAAATAAACCTTAATACATTAGCTGATGTCAATGACCACATTAGGGACTCAAGCTTGGGGGTCTGTTGGTTCAACGGAATGGAATCGAATTCGCCTTGATGGGGTCTTGTGCATAACTGGGGGCTTTGTCTCCCAAAAAGGAGCTATTGCTTATGCTTCAGTTTATCTATGGCAGGTCATAGTTGCACCCTCACTCAGGCTGTGGTCTCAGGGGTCCCCATCTTGGTCATGTGTCACTCTAGGTGCTGCAGGAGAGGGATGCCTTGAAGGGGGCACAGAAGCCAGCCCTGCTGGTGAAGATTGCGCCAGACCTCACGGCCCAGGACAAGGAGGATATTGCCAGTGTGGTGAGAGAGGTGCGAGTCGGGACTGGGGAGTATCTGACCCTTTTGGCTGGGCTAGTCCAGATGGCAGTCTGTGGTTTCCTTTGTGTGATACTGAGGGCTGGTTTGGTGTCTTTTTCTCATGCTTCTCATCCCCTCCACCCCCTTCCACCCCCACCCCGTGTCCACCCTCCCCACCAGCAAAAGGATTATGGCTCACTGTCTCACTTTATTGCAGTGGTCTGGAACCAAACCCGCAATATCTCCGAGGTATGCCCATATTCCTTCTCTTCAGTCTAACACCAGGTGTCTGTGTCATAGGAGAGTGGTGGAAACAGATCGAGCCCGGCAGTCCTGGGTTCAAATCCTGGTTCCACCACTTACCACCTGGAGGCCTTGGACGGGACACTCTGAAGTGGGTTGTTGTAAGGATTAAACCCTGTCCTAATAGAACATTAGAGGTGATCACTATGTGATGGCAACTGTTGCCGTGTTGAGGCTCATTCTGACACTTGTTCAAGCAGCACAGTGAGGTCTTGCTTCTGGGGCTGTAGGTGCGGGGGCCTGGCCTGGCTGCTGTCTCAGACCCTCCAGGGAAGCTTCTCTGCATCCGTCAGTGCCACACCTGGAGGCTTCTTTTCTCTGTCTCACACTGCAGCTGGGCATCGATGGACTGATTGTCACGAACACTACAGTGAGTCGCCCTGCTGGCCTCCAGGGGGCCCTGCGCTCTGAAACAGGAGGGCTGAGTGGGAAGCCCCTCCGGGACTTAGCAACGCAAACCATCCGGGAGATGTACGCACTCACCCAAGGCAAGGAGTCGGTGACGGTGTCTTCAGATTTGTGTGTGGCTCTGGCTCTGGGGTCTTGAACAGAATCAGTGTTCCCTGAACTGCTGCACTCAGCAGGGCAGCTGAGGGCTGAAGCCAAACGGAGCTCCTGGTTCTCACGTCGTCCGTCCTTCCTCATGGTGTCACCTTGTGCTTCTCTGCAGGCAGCGTCCCCATCATTGGGGTTGGTGGTGTCAGCAGTGGGCAGGACGCGCTGGAGAAGATCCGGGCGGGGGCCTCCCTGGTGCAGCTGTACACAGCCCTCACCTACCGGGGTCCGCCTGTAGTGGGCAGAGTCAAGCGGGAGCTGGAGGCCCTTTTGAAGTGAGTGAGGCCACGTGTGGCTTATAACTGAAGTTAATAATGGTATCAATTCAGAATGACTCAAATCAAAGGGATGCTATTTATGGCTTTATTCTTCATGCAAAAAGGATTTAAGGAGTACACTGTGAACGCAGGGGAAAATTCCTCTGTTGCTCCTTTGACTTCCAAGGCGATGGCATTTATAGAGGCATTCTGGTGGTATTTCCCATTAATTCAGTACCATTGGCTTGGTGTCAGGGAGCTGCCTATACTTAGAATCTGAAGCCCTGGGTGTTCATGTCTCTAGGTCTCTGGGTGAAGACAGTGTAGGGGGCATGAGGTGTGTGTTCGGGAGAGAGAGAGAAAGGCAGGTGCAGTTACGGAGCAGACAGAGCCCAGGTGAGTGTGGACTTCCTGTAGAATAGGGCCCACCACTTGCTGAAATTGCTGTTTTCTCTTTTTCCAGGGAGCAGGGTTTTACCCGAGTCACAGATGCCATTGGAGCGGATCATCGGAGGTGAGGACATTGTCAGTGGAAGCGTGATCCGGAACTTTCCCATGAAATCAAGCGAGCCTTTGTGGCTGGATCAAGAGAGAAGGGACTCTGTCTCAGGCCACATCCCCCAAACTACAAGAGCCCTTTCTCTGCAGCCTGTTTGGACTGGAAACCAATCGTGAGGGTCGCCAGAATCAATACATTTCTTTGGTCACTTGTCAGATCATGAACTGCATTCAGGATTTTTTCCAGACTCAAATCCAGGATCTTGTAATATTACAAGGACATTAGATACTGGTGGGGGAGAAAAATCACGGAAAAAAATAAAGCCATTTAAAACCTGGACTGAAATCCCAGCCCTTTCTGGAGGGCCTCTGCTACCTGGGTCTGCAGTGGCCTTCCCAGGAGCTTGAGACTCTTTCATTCTATCTTTATTGTTATTTAAGCTTTAACTTTATTTTGAAAATATTTCAAACATAGACAAAAGTTGTAAGAACAGGGCTTGTGGATAGCTGTGCTCTCCCTGTGTTTTTACATCATCTTCCCTCTGCCTGTGTCCTGATCCCTTACAAGGAAGGACACCAGTCATTCTGGATGAGGGCCCACCCTAATGACCTCATTTTAACTTGATCACCTCTGTAAAGACCCTGTCTCCAAATAAGGTCACACTGTGAGGTATTGGGGAGATAGGATTTCAACATATTAATTTTGGGAAGACAATTCTACCCATCACAAGAAATGTGGTTGCTGTCTCCTGCTTTCATGTTTGTGACTTGGGGTGCCATCGGCAGACAGGTTCTCAAGGTGCTTGGCGATACTGGCCAAGAGTCTGAAGAGGTATAGTCATGAGCTAGAGAAATGCTACTCTTCAATACCGAAAAGCAAACGGTAAAGAGAAGTTGCAAACCTTGTCTGGGAAGCACTGTTGCTGTCTGGCATGTCTTCACAGCCAACAAAATCACCTTTGTTCCCATCACCTCAGTACAGGTTGTATTTTAAATCTGATTTCTCGGTAGCTCTGTGGAGAGGTATGTAGCTGCAATAGTGATAATGTGTCCTGTAGCCTCATCTTTCCATGTTGGCCTCAGCCTGGCCCTCTCTCTGCCCACTCACTCTTTGCCAAGAAGCCAGCATCCAGTCTCCTGCTATCTTTTTCCAAGATCTTTTCCCTGGCTTTTGTCTTACTATGAAGATAATACCTACTCATAAAGAAATTTAAACAATATAGCCCCCAAATAAAAGCTGTCTACCTCTTTCCCCCCAAACAAGTCCCATCTCTAAAAGACCCTGCTCTTCAGCTCCAGGTGGCTTGCACCCAGGAGAGCCAGCCAGCATTTCATCTCATCAGAGAAGGTGGAAATCTGCATGGTTTATGTTTTATCTCAAGTGTTTTAAATTTGAGCTGATGTCGTGCCAGTCCATTAAAACTGGTGTGTAGGCCAGATGTGAATGAAGGCCTCCAATTTTAGATGTCTGGCCCATCCCATCTGGAGGCAGTGATTTGTAACTCCCCAATTCCCATGAGCCAGGAGCATCAGCAGGGGGAAGGCTGAGGTAATATCAGGAGAATGACATCCCAGCCAGGGTGGGGACAGGAGGGTCCTAGGGATGTGCTGGTGATTCCATGACTCACTGTGGGTCGGGGGAGTGTGTGGACTTGCAGTAGGCCTCAGGAAATTCACCAAACCCTGCTGAGGCTCCATTTTTCTCTCCTGCAAAAACAGTGGTTTGGAGGATTAAATGATCCCTTAACAGCAACTTTTACAAGGATGCGTACTACGTGCCAGGCACGTTATGTACCTCTTAGCCACGGACAGTCATGTACGTGTGTGCCTCAGTTTCCTGACGTGTGAAATGGGAGCACAGTACCCATCTTGAAGGGTTGTCATGAGGATTAAATATGAAGTGCAGCAGTGCTTAGCGCACCTACTCTCCTAGTAAATGGTCTTTTTGATATTTCTAATCATCATAAAGTCCTGCAAATAGGTATCACCAGGCCTGTATTTGCAGATGAAACCAGGGCTTTGAGAGATTAAAGGAGCTAGGAATCAGCAGAGCTGGGCCCCAAGGCCTCAGCGCCTCCTTCTGATGTGGGTAAAGGGACTCATGGGACCTCTGAAGAATATTATTAGTTCCTTTTTCCTCAAAAATTTATCTCCTTTTAACAGTTAGGCTTCATACTGTGTGCCATTACTTTTTAGAAGAAGCTTTCATAGAAACGCCCTGGGCACGTCGTTGGTCTGATAGAAGGTGGTAGAGAGGGGCGTGGTGATGAAAGCTGGGAGCCCCGCAAAGGTGGGGAACATTTTGTAGGAACCACAGGGCCAGCTGGGGCTGAGCCAGAGGCTCCAAAACGTGGACGTTTGAAACAATAATCATTTATTATCCCACGTGGTGCCAATGCGTCAGGAATTCAGGAGCAGCTTAGTTGGGTGGTTCTGGCTCAGGGTTTCTCATGCGGATTTAATCAAGACATTGGCCAGGGCTGCAGTCCTTTAAGGTTTAACGGGCTGGAGGATCCACTTGCAAGATGGGTCACTCATGTGGCTCATGAGTTGGTGCTGGCTGCTGGCCGGAAGTGTCAGTGGATCACTTCATAGGGCTGCCAGAGTGTCCTCACGCCACAGCTTCTGGCTTCTCCCAGAGTGAGTGATCTGAGAGGGAGCAAGGTGGAAGCTGCAATGCCTTTTATGACCTGGTCTCAGAAGTCAAACATTGTTAGTTATGCCACATTCATTCTATTCATTAGAATAGGGTTGCCAGCTTTAGTAAAACAAACAAAAACAACAGGATGCCCAGTTAAATTTCAATTCCAGATAAACAAGGAACACACGTTAGTATAAGTATATCCCATACCATAATTGGGACATACTTATACTAAAATTTATTTGTTGTTTATCTGAAATTCAAATTTATTTGGGCACCGTGTATTTTCTCTGACAGCCCTATATTAGAAGTGAGTCACTTAGTCCAGCCCACACTCAAGGGGAGGGGAATTTCGTTTCCTTTTTTTTTTTATTTAAGATTTTATTGGGGAATTGGGGAAGGGGAACAGACAAGTTGCTGTCCTTTTGTTCTTCAGTCTAGTTGTGGAGGACATTGCTGCACTGGCCCATGTTGGTATTATCATTGTGCTCTTGCCAGGTGAGGCAGTTACTCGCCTGCCATTGGATGGCAGCTCACGGCAGCTCATGAAAGCTCACGCCAGCTGCCGGCCAGCCGCACTGCAGCCTACGCCGTCACTGGCAACTCACGGAAGCCCAGCTCCAGGTTGAGCTGTTGTTCACCATCTTAGCTGTAGAGGGCGCAGCGTCACTGGCCCTCATGTGGAATCCAAAGTGGGACCCTGCTGCTCAGAGCTGGCATCCCAAGCCAACTCCTAACCAATGCGCCACTCAGCCAGCCCAGGTTCCATTTTTTTGAAGGGAGTAATGTCAAAGAAATTTGTGGAGATCTTTCCAAACCACCACAAGCAGAATTCTGAAAAACTTTGTTTGGTCCTGGTGTCTGAGGGTAATTGCATGGGAGACTACTAATAGGATGAAGTAGTTTGGGGACAAGCAAGGTCATTTTCCTAATAAGCTTGTACATTTGTAAGTTTACAGCAAATCACACATATCTTCTTTGATCCTCAGACAGCCCTGGAGGTGGGTGAGGTGGTGATTATGATCCCCATTTTACAGATGAGGAAACTAAAGTGCCTGCTCCAAGGTGATAAGAACAGAAATGGTGGAGGGAGGACAGAGTCTCCTAATGGCAAGTCTAGCCTCTGTTCTACTCCGAGTAGTGTCCTGATAGACTGCTGATGCCTCCACTAAGATGTTTTGGATTCATTTTCTATCTCCTGCCATGTTTTTATCTCAAATAGATATGGCATTTGTGGATCCTTGCTGTTGTGCTGCCTTCCGGGTGATGGGGAAGACCCTCCAAGAAGTCAAGGGCCAAGATGCAATCTTCTCTCCCCAACAACTCACCAGCTCTGAGATCCACCCTGGCTGAGGGATTCACTACACCACTTACAGACAGGCTCTAGGGTACGACAGGAACATCATTCCCTTTCACCAGGAGGCAGTCAACCTGACGTGAAAAAGACTGCAGAACAGCCAAACCAAACAGAGGACTACTCTTCCCCAATTTTTATTATAAGAAATTTAGACATACAGAAAAGTGGAAAGAATAGTATAATAAATATCCATATCCCTTCACTTATTTTACTATTAGTCATTCTTACTGTCTTTTCCATGTTTTCTCTATCAATCTTTTACCTCTTTACATACTGTAGTTTGATGAACAATTTCGAAGGAAGTGGTAGGTGTCAGGACACCTCTCTCTTAAGTACTTCATAGCCTGCATCTTCTAAAAATAAGAACATGCTCCTATAAAACATAATTTTATGATTACACCTAAAAAAATTAGCCTTGATTCTATAATATCACCTAACATTCAGTCTATATTGTAATTTTCCCTATTGTCCTCAAAATATCTTCTCTTGTCCATCAAGGCTCACCTATATGTCTCTTTAGTCTTTTAAAATCTAGAACATTCATCTCTGAAGAGATCAGGCCAGTTGTCTTACAATCAGTTCTACATTCTGTATTCCCAGAAAAAAAGGGGAATCTACATTATAGCTGATGTGGATATATGACCAAAATCTACCCAGTGACATATATGTGAAAGTATTGTGTGTACTTGTGGGAAGTCTTCTGCTGCCTGGAACATGAGGATAATGGCTGCAGCTCTGGCAGCCATGTTAGAACTGAGGATCACCCCAGAGGCAAAAACTGGAAAGAGCTTCATAGACCTGATAATACCAGCTCTGTCTGCTTACTTCCCCACCTCTTTTGAGAAAATAAAATCTTACGTGCTTGAGTCACTGTTAATTGGGGTTTTCTCTCATATTTAGCCAAATTTAATTCTAGCTCATAAAAAAGCCAGATTGAGATCTGCTGTAACCTTGTATTTGCCTGCAAACTATGTTATCTGCTTTCTGCTTAGCTAAGACACACTTCAGGGTTTCTCTTTCCTCCAGGTGCAGATTTCTGGTGCCAGCACACTGTGGGAATGTCCTCAGACTATCATGTAACCTACTCTCTAGCATTGAATGAATCTTGGCAGTTGGGAAATTTCTGTAAGAACACTGTGGTTATAAATGTGGGAAATGAAGTTAATGTGGCTTGTCACATGTAAGAGGACACCAGGGGACAGGGCTGAGAAGAGTGTGTTCAGGAGCAGTGTGGGAATGACCTGGAATTGGCACACAGCGGGTTTGTGAAATACCTGGCCAGTGACGCAAAGGCAAGGTTCCAAAGGGCAGGGCCTTAGGAGAGGGAACGCAATAAACATGC